TAGGACAGCAGGTCCACATCAGCTATTACAGCTGCCAACTAATCAACCTGCTTAAACAAATAAATGAACTTCAACTTCAACTTTTTCCATCAATGTTTTCCCCATAATTCTTTCAGTTCTATGCAATGCTACTAATGATCCTTGAGGAACTTCCCAACAAATTACATACTACGTCTATTATGTAAACTGAATGTCTTGAAACTTTGCCAAAATTGAAAATCATTCTGATGGGGGACAACACCATCAAGAGGAAGGTATAGAAGACTACATGTATAGAGATCATTATGAGCTGTCCATCACTTACAAAAGACCGGGGTGTTTGAACTTCCAAATATTTTTGACACTCTACTCCCATGGCAGGGCCTTTCTGAGCAAGTGATAACATAATTTAATACTTTATAACCACTCATATTCCAAAAGACTGATGAAGGATGAGCAATTCAGAAGAAGTAATTATTTCCAAGAAAATCAATTTGTTCCATTCAGATTCTTCAACTCATTGTTTTACAATTATGAAAATGCAAATACTAAAAATGGCAAGCAAGGTATCAAGTCTCTACTTATAAGTTAGTCTAATAATGTCTGGGTTTTCTTGATATGGTATGATATTTAACTAACCAAATATTATTTCTTAGACAGCTATACACAAAAGATGGAGGCACAAAAATCTCTTTTGCAAGATGAAACCTGGGTCAATAACTACAGAAAGAAAATTCTTAAGATGTTGGTTAAGCAGGTACAACCTACATGATCTGAAACAATTTTGAGAGATTTTTCTTTTTTTTTCTACTCAATTAACTTTCTTTTCTTTGCTCGTTGAAAATATCTTTATTCTTCATAGGGTTGATAGATTTTTGACTGAACTTCCCCTTTACAGAATATATACCTGAAAACAAATCTAAATGATGGTGTCTGAACAGTACATTAATTTTTTTTCCTTTTGTCTTTTAGGATAACCTGGTGATGAATCCTTGTCCCTGGTTTGATGTGAAGCCACCACTTTCAATAGGGGGTGAGTGATGTTTTACAACTGAAATAAGTTACTGTGGCAACCATAATGGATCATTTTATGTTGGAAGAAACACAGGAGAGAAAAGTGAAAATGGTGCAAAAAATAGTTGTTATCCCTTCAACTCCCAGGAGTGACCAAAACATAATTTCTCTCTACGTTATCTATTTTATGGCAGACAATGCCCGGCAGACAACCAATGAGAATGAGGAGAAATAACAATTAGGGGATTATTAAAGGCTGATAGTTTCTAAAGAAACTGTTTGGGGCTGCGTCGATGGGGGTAACGAAATATTTAGATATATCAACAAAGTTGAAATCATGGTAAATTTGCCACTTTAATGATTGCAAAAGCTGACGTTTCGAGCGTTAGCCCTTCGTCGGAGCAAATAGAGGAATTGTGAGTTGTGTGTGCTTTTAAAGGCAGAAAATGGAGCTACGTTATTGAAGGTAACTTGGCAACAAGAAAAACATGAATAAATTTTTCTTTTTCTAACACGAATAAGTTTTTCTTGTTGCCATGTTACCACCAATAACGTAGCTCCATTTTCTGCCTTTAAATGCACACACAACCCACAATTCCTCTATTCGCTCTGACGAAGGGCTAACGCTCAAAACATCAGCTTTTGCAATCGTTATGGTGGCTAATTTACCATTTCAACTTTGTTGATATATCCAAATTATAGGGGATTATTAGTTGACCCAATACCAAATTCTTCAAACTCACATGATAGTAATTATATGGCAGACAGTAAAGACAATTGCTAATGAGATCTTGGGAATGAAAGTGTTCAAAAGATAATTAAAATAGTAAAGATGACAAAATAAAGTGATCATCATGAATTGCCTTCAGTTGGAAGGTGGGCTCCTTCTTGAAAAATTATTGTTATTATAATTAGTATATTATCATTATTATTCAGGGTAATTATTTTGTAGAAAGTGTTTTTCTTATTTTTGAATTTTTAGTCCTCTCTTGGAAAGTGCAGGTGTACTATTGAAATAGTATTGACAATTCAAATGTCACACAATGGTTATATAACAAGGATGCTACATATAGCATTGTGTAATCACTAGACCTTAGTACTTATTGAAAACCATTAGTGTAGCAGTTGAAATTTCATGATCATCAACTGAATGTGACTTTACAGTACATGTATATAATTTTGTGATTGCTTATAATAAGTTAATTGAGTAGTATTTGTCTCTGAGTATCTGATAATAGAGCTGCAATAAACACTGACAACTTAGTATTGTTATGTTCACAGCAAGTGTCTGATTCAGGAACTAAATGAAATAAATTTTTACATTAATTTTAGGTGTTTACGAACTGTGCATGTATGATTTAATCCTCGGAAAAAAAGAGCAGTGGGAACACAGGTTTATTCAAGGATTTTTTGAGAGATGCAAGCTCTCTGAACCAGTTGGTGTCTGGTTTACTGAATTTGGTCCCATAAACAGAGGTACTGTTAGTAATAATAATATTATTGTTCATAGACCTAGATCAACATAAAGCTTGAAACCATTTTAAATTAGT